AAAAACTATGTTAAAACACTTTATTCGAACACGTTTTAAGTCATTCTTTTATACTATTTTCTTGGTAGGATTTCTGGAGACTTAGGAGCTCTCCCTATCATTGTCATGCCTAAATCTAAATGTGGTGCAGATTCTCTGCCGATAATAGTTGGTTGATGTAAGTGGTCCTACGAGGTACAAATCGACTATTGTTCTCCTTAATCAATCGTATAACAAACATTCTATTATAACTTAGTAAAAGTAATTTAGTGTTTTTTATCTAATATTTACATTCTATTGTAGTTGTATTGAAATCATAAATTAATTGGTGTTCCTCTTCTCTCTATATTTTAATATGTTCATTATTGTTTTATTTATTTATATATAATCAAAGGAATGTATTAAAATAGAGCACAAGGGTGCCCTATCCTTATACAATAAAATTCACCAATAAAGACAAAAAAAAACAAATTAAGATGAGATCACTATCCAATTAAATAAATTGACAAATTGATTTGCCACACTGTCGAATCTACCGCGATCCGGCCACTAAACTCAGCCAACAGCCATTTTCTAGAAACTAAAATAATGGTCTTCAAAATGTCTATCTCCAATCTTCCTTCTTCAAAGATGATATTATTTCTCGTATTCCACAATGTCTAACAAACGACAAGGCAAAAACAACAATAAAACTCAACCTTGAACTTACTTAAAAAGAACTTCTTGAAATGTAAAAACATCATGGTTAACGATAATTGTTCGCCACAAAAATCAATACCAAGCCACTGATAAAGTTGTTCCCAAATCAGAATGGCAATATCACAGTAGTAAAGGAGGTGGAGTAGAGATTCGTCGACATTAAAGCAAAACGCACAAACAGAATCATTAAAAATAATACCTCTTTTCTCTAAATTCAGTTTTGTGTAGTCTATTCAACAAGCATCTCCATCCAAAAAATTGGAGATTACTCGGCGCCTTCGATCTCCAAATATTCGTTAATCCTTTGTGAATTAAGCCATCCACTTCCGTATGCTTCGTAACAGCCTTTGTTAATAGATTGTAACAACTTGCTGTCGAAAAACCATTTATATCCAACTTCCAAATAAACAGGTCATCTTCGTCACGGTTAGGCTGCACATTCTGCAGTAACCGCGAATATTATTCTGCAGGCTGGTCGGATAACACAATGTTGTTATCCCGAAAGCTTCCACAACCAAGATTCTCCAACCCACTCACCGATTTTCAGAATGTTAACTAGACCAGAATTGTACTGATGAAATAATTCTGGAAAAATTGTCACAAACGAGTTTGAACCTAGCCATGTGTGTTGCCTGTAACACCCCCTTTCTATACCCTCAAATAAACAATTAAATCATTTAGGCACTTAATCAAAATTTTCATCAGAGTATAAATTAACACATGGTATAAAAGAGGCACGTCACATTATCCAGGAAATTCAAAACACATGCAACACCTGCCCATAAGGATATGCAACAAAGGGTAAATCACCACAAAGGAACTTAGTCCTTAAAACCCACATATCAATATTTAGAATAAAAGCGGAAACATCTAAACATTGAATCACTTCATTCATATAAACATTATATACATCAACAATTCAATTCAAGTCATAAGTCATGTTTACAAAATATTCACCAGCAGATACATACACAGATGTATCACAAAAGAATCAAAACACTTCCTAACTATCCGGTGCTACATATCAGAGTCAACCGACAAAAAATAATGAAGCCACGCTTCACAAAGGACCTTCAGCAAACCTACTCTGCAATGTCTTATATAACATCATAAAACAACAGAAGGGTGAGAAACATTATCATAACAGACAATGCATATAATTATATATCTATATACACAAACATAGAATACACATAACACATTTCTCACCGCAATTCATCACATACCTCACAATGTATATCTACACAACTAAGCATATTCACCAATCATGCTTCACAATTCACAACATTTGCACATAAACATTTACACTTATGTTTACTTCAACAGTCCACATAAACATACACGATTATGTTCATTACGCCAACACATCATATGAAGATGATAATCCAACTCATAGAGACCGACTCACGACTCTATACAGATGCAAATGTGGTACCGACTCATTCAGCAGGTTCAATTGAAGAACCAAATGGAACCATCGCTCGTTACCGAAGTAAATCCCCGTCGGGCCTACGATGTTCACCCATCACTCACACCCCACATGAGCACACGATGTTTCAGGATTGCTCACACCTCACACGGGCACACAATCTGATTGCTCACACCCCACAAGGGCACACAATCGTTCTGCAGATTCTCCACAGAATCAAATATAAACCATCGCTCACACCCCACAAGGGCACACAATCGTTTCTGCAGATCCTCCTAGGGATCAAAAATAAACCATCGCTCACACCCTACAAGGGCACACGAGGTTTCTGCAGATCCTACGCGGGATCAAACACACAAGAATGCAATCATGATGCTTCACATGCAAAACGACTCCACACACTCTTGAAATGCATACATATTCACAAATATATAATCATGCATTCTTCACATCATACAAGTACATGCAATTATGCACATTCACATCAATTTCATCATGCATTTTCATTCAATTCAAACAAATGCACAAAATTGCCAAACAACCATATTTCACATTCCACGATTCACAATCTAGGATTCACGCCTTACGGCTACCCACAACACACAAACTATCCATTTAGATAAGGATTAAACATAATTAAACCAACAAGCGACAATTGGATGGAAAACACAGGAAAATAAAAGAAAATGCTGCCACATTCGCTGACCTTCGCCTGGCGAATGCTCGCCACCACACTCGCCTGGCAAACTCGCTGGCGAAGCCAGACAGTAGCTACTGACTTGGTTCGCTACCACTTGCTACCACACTCGCATGGCGAAGCCTCTCGCTGGCACCTTCGCCTGGCGAACTCACTGGCGAAGACAGAGTTGGGCTACTGACTTGGTTCGCTACCCACTCGCTGGAATTCGCCTGGCGAACCTTCGCTCCCATTCGCCTAGCGAATGCTAGCGAATCTGCGAACTCAGAAATCCCTAACTGTCAAAAATCGCCTAATCCTTCCAAAATCAACTGATTCTCTCCAAACCAGTTCCAACCACCTTAGTCTAACATTCCCCGACTAAACTTTACCACTTATTCTCATTTTTAACCGTTAAAACTCGGTTTCTACCGATTAAATCAAATTCGACCTAGAAATGGCAAATGAGCAAAACTCTCCCCAATCCAAAATCAAACCAATAGAAACATACATAATCATACACATCGAAAAAATAATAAAGTTTCACACCCTTACCCGATTAAATCGAAGCTTAGAAGTTGATCCTTGATGGTTCTAGGTTTTTCTCCTCCTCCTCCTCTTTTCTCTTCTTTCCTTTCTATTTCTTTCTATCTCTTTTCTTTTTTCTCTATTTCCACTTATGCTCTTTCTATTCTATTTCTCTCAAATATCTACTAATTAAGGATTATCTAAAACACCCTCTAATTAATTCCCAAAACTCTTCGAATAATAAAATAACATAATATGCACACATAACATATTAACATTCAAATTCCACAATTAAAAGAATAATCAATCAAAATAAATCAAAAGACTCAACAAAATGGGAAATTCAGAATCGGGGTGTTACACTGCCAAAAGTCAATAGTACCACTTTCAAGCTTCCCACGAACAGATTCTTTGAACCAGTTTACATCCATATTAGATATCATTCCAATGCCTCTAATATCTCTTCACCATAACGAATGTTTACGCGTCACCGCCCTTGTATCTCGAGAATTTGATAGGATGTGACTTTGCAGGGATCCATACATTGATTTTAATAATCCACACCACAAGCAATCTTTGTCTACCAATATCCTCCATAATCATTTACTAAGTAGTGCAACATTGAACCTCCCGACATGTTTAACCCTGAGTCCCCCTTCCTTCTTGGTCTTGCAAATAACATCCCAACTTATCCAAGAAACCTTTCAGATCCCCCCCCCCCCCCAAAGAAAAACCCGTTGGATAGAAATCAATTTCTACACAACTAATTTAAGAGCCTTGAAAAAGAACAGGAAATAAATCGAAATATTGGATAAAACTGCATTCAACATAGTTACTCTACCAGCTAATGAAAGGTTATTGCCTTGCCATTTTGAAAGTCTTCATTGCACCTTGGAAATGATGGGAATCCAAGTACTCTTTCTAAGATGGTTTGCTCCAACCGATAACCCCAAGAATAAAAACAGAATGTTTCCAATCTTTCACGGGAAGAAGGAAGTAGTAGCCTGCAGAAAGTCTGCCTTTATATTTACCCCATAAACCTAGCTTTTAGTAAGATTTAAGCTAAGCCCAAATGCCAAATGAAACCCTCTAAGTACATATTTCAAATTCCATAAATTGGCCTACTTTTCGTCATATATTATCACTATGTCATTTGCAAACTGTAGTAGCTCGAAGTGAATCGAATCATCTACTTTAAAACCACTAAACTGATCCAAATCGACTCCATTACGCATCAGTCTCGTTAAACCTTCAGTTGCTATCAGAAACAGGAAAGGGGATAAAGCATCACCCTGAAGAATCTCTCTTTGAACCATAAAATCCTCCAATGGGCTGCCATTAACAAGAATCAACATAGAGCTATTGAATATCAAACCACTCATCCATAATAACCATCTTGTCCCAAACCCTATCCGCCGAAATATTTTGCAAGTATTCCAATGAAGTGCAATCATACGCCTTCGCAAAATCAACCTTCATAAGAAAACAATCCTTCTTATTGTGTCTTACGAAGTCCACCGCCTCATTTACCACCAAAATACCATCTTTCATTTGTCTTCCTTCCAAGATTGTTGTTTGCAATTTCGATATCAGTTCATTCATAACTCTTCTGATTCTATTAGCCAAAATCTTAGGCAGTGTCCTATAGAGGCTACCAATTAAACAAATTGGTCGGAAATTATCAACCACTTAAGGATTTTCATCTTTCAGAACCAAAACAAGAAACGAAGTAGTTATGGCTTTTGGAACCCTTCCACACTCATGAAACTCTTTAGCAAAACGGAAAAGATGGTCTTTAAGAAATTCCCAACAAACCTTGAAGAATCCCATACTGAATCCGCCGGGACCTGGACTCTTATCCTTATCACCATTCCAAACCACAGTTTTAATCTCTTCCAAGGAAAAAGGTTGTTCAAGAATGGTGTTATCCTCCACAGAAAGTTGATTAAAACTGACACCATCCAACGTAAGCCTGTTGTGATTTATTTCAGAAAACCTTCTCTTAAAATGGTTCTTAAATTCCTCCTTGACATCATATACTTCCTCAATCCTCCCTCTATCTGTATTAAGTCCTGCAATGTTGTTCCTCCTTAACCTCGACTTCATGGCATTATGGAAAAACTTCGTATTTCGATCGCCCTCTTTGATCCACAAACTTCTTGATTTCTGCCTTAAAATACTCTCGCTATTGTGAAAAGATCTCCAAACCTTTTTGGTAACCTCCTCTCGCTGCCTAGCCAGCTCCACCCCATTTAAGTTTACCTCCAACTCTTCATTAGTGGCAGCTAAGGTATATAACATATTAAGTTCTTTGACGGCATCTTCGACTTCCAAGTTGATAACTCCGAATACTTCCTTATTCCACTTCCTCAACACCCCTCTTAATAATTTTAGTTTCTCATGCAAGACAAATGCAACTTTACCTTCAATTATAGTAGTCTCCTATAACTCTTTAACCAACGGCGCCAAATCTTTGTTTTCGAACCCACACTTAAAGAACTTAAACGATTTTGGGCCCCAGTTAACCTTGCAAGTTTTGGTCCAAATTGGGGCATGATCTGAGATGTCTTTAGGACCCACATGTTGACAGTTAATGTTCTAATTTGTAATCATTTGTTATGGTTTTCATAATTTTGAGGAAAAAAGTAGTTTAAGTTTCTCTCTCTCTCTCTCTCTCTCTCTCTCTCTCTCTCTCTCTCTCTCTCTCTCTCTCTCTCTCTCTCTCTCTCTCTCTCTCTCTCTCTCTCTCTCTCTCTCTCTCTCTCTCTCTCTCCCTCTCTCACATACACACACACACACACACACACATTTGCTTACTTGAGTTTCTTAAGTTGTGTTGCTTTGATGATATGAATTTAATTTTCATAACTTATTTCAATAGTTACCGATAAAGATTATTTTCTTCAATTCTTTAGTGTCAACCTTAATAGAAAAAGTTATCTTTGGACTTATGCAATGAAGAACTTTTTGAAAGGAAAAGGTATGTGAAGTTATATCGATGGAACATCTATTATGCGCATAAACAAAAAGGATGAAGAAAAGTTTGCAAAAGAGTTAGAAACATGGTATGTTAGTAATTCAGAAATCCTTACTTGAATCAATAATTATTTTTAGGGTTAATGAAGTTTTGGTCTCTTTAGATATTGTAGATTTCGTTTTTAGTCCCTCAAAAATTTTCCTTCAAGAAATCGTCCGTTCAAAATTTTTTGTCTAAATAATTGGTCACTAACATCAAATACCATTAAAGGCTGCTTACTTGGCAAGACAGGTGGATTAAATAATTTTTTTTCATGAAATACAGTGTGTACAGTGAGCCAATTTAAAGTTGAGTGTGTAATCATTTCACATAAATCACTCGTTCCTCTTTGTTCATCTTCTTCCTCCAACGTAATAATTCCTTGTTCATCCTTTTCTTCCAGCATGTTGCTTCCTTTATTAATCTTCTTCCTTTGTTCATCTTATTCCTCCAGCGTCTTCCTAACCTAATGTCTTCTACTTCAATAAAATCGCAAGTTGGGAAGCTTTGTGGGTGTCATGTTCGTACGGTCTCATATCAATGCAAGAAGTACCAAATAATGGAAGGTTGTTTTGGAGGCGGATAGTATGGCATCTATGGGATATATGAAGTCTTTGTATGAAGAATCAAGGAAGAAGAATAAGAATTTGAAGACCAAATTGAAAACTGAGAAATTTCACGGAAAATTGAAGACGTTGTGTTTTGTTATGTTATTTTTATTAATGTGTATTTTTTTTAAATGTAGTTGTTGAACTTGATGTATTTTGTTTGAATTTTCAATGTTAATGAAGAGTTTGTAATGTAGTGAATTTACAATGTAGTTGTCGAACTTGATTAATGTTGCAATGTAGTTGTTGAACTTGATTAATGTACTAAATTTGCAATGTAGTTGTTGAACTTGATGTGTTTTGAAATATAGTTTGTTATGATTATGTTGACACAGTTTGCAAAATTTGGCATAAAAATGTTGTAACCTGACTGTAATTGGCAAGATTTTAGACATGATACAAAATACATAACATTGATGACATAATACAAGATTGATGACATGACAGTAATTGAAGTTCTAAACAAAATACATAAGGTTCATGTTCCAAAAAAAATAGTACATCAAAAGAGTACTAAAGTTTAAAAAATAATACATAATAGCAAATAATAGATATAAATACATAACAAAAGTATATTACACATGTTTAAAAAAACAACATATTTCACTCCTAAGTCTTCACTGAGTCATGCTCTTCTAGATATTATCCCAAGTCTTCTTCCATCTAGCACTGCCAACACTTGTGTCTTCCTCAAGAATGAAAAATGGATCCTTTGGATCCCTCTCAGGTCCCACAATGTCACGTGTCTTCAGTGTCCTAAGTCTATCACTCTATCGTTTTGGAATTGCAACATTCTTGGCCTTTTTCTTTGGTGATATCATTATTTTTACCTGTTATGACGACAGAAAGTTATCAAACTAATAAACATAATAAACTAATTTTTTTTATTGAATTAAGTTACTATCTTATAGGATCACTCATACTTGGCTTGTTGGCTTCAGTTGTGTAATACCCCATATTTCCCTTAAATGCTCAATTGGGTATCAGTTGGGATCAATTGAGTTCCTATACACTCTAACTTATGTCAGTTGAAATGATTGAAGCTCTTAAGTGCTATAAATGTCATCAGTTAGGACCAATAAAGTAACTAATGGACTCTGAAGAGATCAATTATTGATAAAAGAGACAGACCAATATTAATAAGTATAAGAGAGGATATTTTGGTAACTCCAATATTTGGTCAATTGGTGTCAGATGACGAAATATCAGTTGGAGATATTTTATACCATTGTATAATATTATATAATATATTTATTATATATGTGGTGAATGAGAAAGAAAGAAGAAGAAGAAAAGAAAGATAGTAAGAAAGAGGAAAAGAGAAATAGAAGAGAAAAGGAAAAGAAGAGGAGAAACTCATGGAAGGGAAAGAGAAGTTCTTAGATTCATCATCTTCATCACCAATTCATCTTCTTTTTTAATAAGGTGAATTCCATTAGTTAGTTTAGCATTGGAGGAAAACATGAGAATATGGGGATTAGGTTTTGTATGGAAATAAATACTTATGAATATGTTGTTAATCATGTTGTTTATGTTGCTTTGATACAATATATGTTGAGTTCTTGTTGAAAATGAGCTTGGTTAGGGGTTGGGGTAAAAACCAATTTGGAACTGTCTAATTTCTGCAGGTGGTTATGCAGAATTTAACACACTCGCACTGTGAGCTTCAAGTGAGCTATAGGCGAGCTCATTGCCTTGAGGTCGCTATGCGACCACAACCTAGTTTTGGTTCTACCTGTACCTCGCCTAGGGGTAGTTGTGCGACCATAGCAGGGTACAATTTTCCCGTTTCTTCTTTTCTTTATAACTTTTGAATTGCAATGACCTATAGATGTTTGAATAATTTTGTAGTATTAAAATAAAATAAATGTGGAAATTAATGACATGTGAGTGGGTGATGAGGAACACCTTGTGTTGTGATGAATACCATAAGGATTGATTCAGTATTTTGGTGAGGGGCTTGGCTCTGAAAGGCCTAACTATTATATGACCACAAACTAACCGAGAATGTCGGTAGAGGAATAATGATGGTTTTATGCCTTATGTGATATGTTTATGCTTGATGCATTATACTATGTTACCGTATGTGTTTATGCATGATATATATGAATGTGATTGTGTGATAACATGCTTAAAAGACTATAATAATGGTGATAAAGCCTTTGATATTAACTAGTGAAATAAATTAGTAAAATGATTAGGTCATGATGAATAACATAGATGGTAATGCTTGTGCAAGGATGCCTAGGTGTGTATCATTGCTAAGTAGTTGTCTAGTTGTAAGGAGTGCTTTGTATGGAACATGTATGGTTTATATTGCTTATGGTTAAGGTGAATGTGATGCCTTTTGATTGTCTAATACAATCATGTTATCCTTAGTGATTACATAAGTGAATGGAGCCTACGGGTAAAGAGACTTATGACGAGGTATGTGTCGCCAGCTGTCGCTTGCGCGAAAATAAGGTGCCGGCATGACAGAAGAGTCGCCACCTTTCGTTATTTATCCCTCAGAGCGGGAAAGGAAACGATCGGAAAAACCTGACGAATAAGGGTAAGACAAGGTCATCGCAACCATTGTCTGGGTTCGGGAGTCGGTTACGCAAGGGGAAGGTATTAGCACCCCTCACGTCCGTCGTACTCGACGGGATCCACGCTTGTTAGTTTACTTGGGTGGGTTGGTTTTATTCTATCTACCTATCAAGGCTGGCTGAAAAAGAAAAGAAAAATGACTCGGCAAAGCGTCGCACTTTATGCCTACGTATTCTCATCAGAGAATGAGAAATCAGAGTCAACGTAGTTCGGCCTACGAAGGATTGCGGGGAAAGGTAGCTCGCCAAGACTTCGCCATCTTGTGCCTACGTACTCTCAACAGGCATGAGAGATCAGAGCTCACGTAGTTCGGGAAACTACGGTTTATTTCCTGTTTTGAAAGAAGTGTTTTTTATTGTGTTTGCGATTTCAACCGCACTAGAGACTATGACCTGAGAGTGAATGCATCGCATGTCACCCAAAGGGTACCATACTAAACATCCAGACTGTGGAAAAGGAACTCTCCCACAATCCTTTCTCAGATAGCTTAAGGCTCGTAACGTACGAAAGAAATCATTCATGATTACTGTATCTTAAACTGTTTTGAGATGAGAAGAGAACAGGCCCAACTAAGAGGGAGACTATCAAGTCCTACTGTTATCATGCCATGGATTCATCCTATGGTTGAAGTTTGAACAGGGAACTCCTAGAAGTTGTCATGCATAGGTTTCAACCTAAAAGTCTATCATCAAATCCTTATCAAAGGAAATGAGAGTCCTAAGGGATCATGTCAATGATACACCAAAACAGACAAAGCATCAGCTTAACAGTAAAATGCATGCAATGCAAGTGAGGGAGGAAATGTGTGTGGGGCTTCAGCCTCCACAAGCTCGTCTCGACCTCAAGCCAGTCATGAAATAACAGTAATCATACTGAAAAATAAACAACATGCTATCAAGCAATAAACAGTAAACTGCAATCATACAGATAAAAGAAATGAAATACCATTCATGCTGGAGAAAGAAATTATCTACATCTAAGTTCTCCCTAATCTACCTCTAAGCAAATCCCTAAAGCAAAACCCTAATCAAAAGAAATCAATCCCAGTCTTCAAGCTTCAACACAAGCTTACCAAAGAAAGGGAGCTA